TAAAAAAATGTAAATCACATCCCATCATTCTCACCCTCCTCAAGTGCTGTGGTACTCATTATCTGTAACATTATGTTTTACGTCAGTTGCTGTCTTACACAATTCTCATCACTTTCTATGGATTTAACTACTATATTCAGTTTCACAAGAAATATTTAGGTGCTCACAAAGTCCCAGGCATTGGCCTATGTGCAGTTATCCTAAGTGAAGATCATCAAAAGTCATGAAATTTCTTTTGATTTCTCATACATTGTTCAGTCCCTAATTATTTGTTGGGTGGCTCATCCTCTGAATACCTATCATATAACACAGGCTAAGCATATTCCATGATACAAAATAATTGCTTTGTAAATATTTAATAAATGATGAATGGCCTTTCCTTCACACCAGCTTCTTGTGGCTTCCCATTAATAGTACTAATGTTCTCCTACAACTAGATCTGTTTTTGTACTAATAATAGAAAAAACAACAATTCCAATATGGCAGCAATATCAAGGTCTGACTGAATTTACAGTATTTTCTAAGCATTATTGCATTTGGCCTTTGCAACACCATGATGAGATTGGGACTTGGGTTTTTATTTCACAGATGTGGAAATGGAACGAAATGATGTGATGGATATTTATTTACAAACATAAATATTTAGGTACAAATTTTTAAAACTCTAAATCCAGATTGACAATTGCTTATTCTTTCATTCTATCACACTCTTCTCTTAAAAAACAAAACAAAACAGGGGCGCCTGGGTGGCTTAGTCGGTTAAGTGTCCGACTTTCGCTTAGGTCATGATCTCGCGGTTCGTGGGTTCGAGCCCTGCGTCGGGCTCTGTGCTGACTGCCAGCTCAGAGCCTGGAGCCTATTAGAGTCTGTATCTCCCTCTCTCTCTGACCCTCCCCTGCTCACGCTGTCTCTCTCTCTCTCTCTCTCTCTCTCTCTCTCCTAGAAATAAATAAACATATTAAAAAACAAAATAAAACAAAACAAAAAACCCATTAGGGGCACCTGGGTGACTCAGTCGGTTAAGCATCTGACTTTGACTCAGGTCATGATCTTGTGGTTTGTGAGTTCAAGCCCTGGTTTGGGCTCTGTGTTGACAGCTCAGAGCCTGGAGCCTGCTTCAGATTCTCTGTGTCCCTCTCTCTCTGCTACTCCCCTGCTTGTGCGCTGTTTGCCTCTGTCTCTCAAAAATCAATAAACATTAAAAAAATAATTTGAAAAACCCTTTAATTTTAACTTTGCAAGTGAATTTCATCCATTGAATTTTATCAAATGATGAAACCATTATTCGGTATTTGAAATGAAAACACAAAGGTGAATGTATCACTTATTTAAATAAGAGGGAACTATGCTGGTCAACTACAGCATCTCAAAATAGAGTGTTTTCTTGGGTTTTGGGGAAAACCGCGTAGTCTAGAGATCTGGATCTGTGAGCGTTCAAAGATGGGAATTGGTTGATGTCACCTTTAGAAGCATGGTTCGTTCTTCAGGTGAGACTACTGTTAATTGGTTTTCATTCAGAATTTTGTTCACTGGGGTGAGTTCACTTCTGATATGACACCTTTCAAAAGGGACAGGTTGCCAATGGTTGGCTTCAGGAAGCATGATCAAGACCATCCGGTCAGGTAATTGTTAATTGATTAAATGCGTCTGAGACTTGTGTTGGTCGCTACTTGTTACCATAACTACAGAGCAAACATTTCCCTCCTTCTGTCCTTCTCCTCCTCCATTTTATTCTCAGTTTATTCATCTTTGTACCCTCAGGGCTTAGGATAGAATTTTATATATAATTATTTTCAAGGACTGCTAAGTAAACGATTTGAAGTCCAATGAAGTCATTTTGGACCTATCTTAGAATTTCTGCCATGCATTTTGTTTGTTTTCATTACAAAGCCTATTTTAGTTCTCTGACACCCCCTATCTGTATTGGGTGCTTGCTTCCTGCTTCCCTCCCATTGTTTTTCTCCTTGACCCCATTCTGCATTTAATAGTTTTACTTTACAAAAAATTCAATGCTGTCACACTCATGCTCAAAAGTAGTCATTTACTTTCCAACCTATTGAACTAAGGTCAAAATTTCTAGTTTTCTATTGATGATCTCTCAGAGTTTCACATATGGCGTACACATTGTATCTTTTTATTCACTCTTCTCCTGTCTGTGGCTAAGGCACCTATTTCTGGAAGGCACTATTCCTGGGATGTTTCTCATCTCTTACCTCTGCCCTTCTGCTCATGCTTTCCCACTGCCTAGAATACCTTTCTCATTCTCCCATTTCTAGTCAATGAAATCCTATACATATTTATTTCAGTTTCCTATTCATGACGACTTTTCTGGTCCCCTACTAGTATATAATTTCTTCCTTTCTCTGAACATATTTAAGCACTGGTTGTACCAATTAGAGGAACACATTTTAAATTCTGTTCAGCCGTGTAATTATTTTGTACTTTCCTATTATTTATTTATTGTACTATTCCAAATTGTGAGCAGAATACATGAATTCTGTCTTGTTAATCTCCTATATAATCTGTTAAAATGTTATAAATATAATAAGTGCTTAGTACATATATGTTGAAAGTACATATATGTTGAAGCAAATTAACATATTTTGGAATATCTAAGTTCCTTTCTTAAAGAAAAGAATTATTGGAATCCCTATGCTGGTACAGCTGAATCCACACAACCTCAGAGATGGGAAGGTAATGGATTGGGGCAAAAATGCCAATAATTTGGTCAAATAGTGTATATTTATTACAATGATTTATATTTATGAATGTTTGCTTTCGTCCAAAAGATGTTTTGTGTAAGTAAAATGTACTATAATTTTTGACATTTGCTTGTGGTAATAGAAATAATTCTAGATTTATTTTTACCTTTATGTTCTTCATAACATTTATTTGAGGCCAAATGTATACATGCACATATTTATGTATCCTATAGCAGTAAATAGGCATAGATCAACCTTTTTTAATTCATCACCTTTCTCACAGCATAAGTTTATTTAATACACTAAATATAAACAGAATTCCAAAATGTGCTCATTACAGATAAAACTGACTAGTTCATAGTGACAAGAAAGAAAACATTTTTGAGTTTCAAAATGTGGTCAAGAATTACGGTATCCAGCATACAATGAACACTTGAAAAACAGTTATCAAATGAAGGGGAGATTTTAGTCTTCGGAATTTCAAAGCTAAGTTAATAAGATTTCTGGTTCCTTTTTAATGTTTTTATTTATTTTTGAGAGAGAGTGTGTAATCGGGGAGGGGCAGAGAGAGAGGGAGACAGAATCTGAAGCAGCCTCCAGGCTCTGAACTGTCAGCACAGAACTTGTGAACTGTGAGTGAAATCATGACCTGGGTTGAAGTTGGACACTCAATGGACTGAGATACCCAGGTGCCCCAAAAACTTACTTTCACCATCTTTTGGTTAATAATTAAATTATAATAAGGAACAGAAACTAGGTACCACATAACTTTGTACCTCTCAGCTTTATGCACTTAAGTGTCCAGTAAGTATCTTTCAGGTAAAATAAGGGCAAAACAACGAAGTGGCAGATGATACAGCAGTCTTTTTCCTGGGTAATTTTATTGAACCCTTGTTCCTGAAAGTATAGTCTTCAAGCCCTGGCCTCAGCATCACCTGCAAGCTTATTGGAGATGCAAAATATCAGGTTCCACCCCTGACCCACTGAGTTTGATTCCGAGCTTAAAAAGATCCTTGAGTGATTCATATGCACATTAAAAATTGAGAAGTACTGTGTTATACTATGGATAGAGGCAGACAAGGAATATTAGTTAACTTTTTCCTCCTCTGTATCTCTTTTTAAAAATATTTTAAAAATAGCTGTTCTAATTAATCATGTTCCTGTTCTTTGTAAAGGCATGGACAAAGTGACTTATTCAACCTCCTTTTATGTAAGTGGACTTGAGATTTGACTCTTGGCTTTTGTAGTCATAATCAGAATACCTGACCAGAATATACATATTTAACTTAAAACAGATCTTTTAATTCTAGCTAAGATAAATTTATGGCAAGAAAAATGCCTGACACATTGCTGCATAGTTGTCTTGGCCCCCTGCCAGGATTTATGTTTTAACACTTCTGAGATTAATGATACACTTCACATAAAGGATTATTTTTACATCTTGGTTCCCTGGAATGAGCACAGTGGGTAAATTGTAATGCCAAGTAGCAAAAGAACCTTTTGAGGCAGCTGCCACTTACTATGTGTGTGATTACAAATTATTATTGACTTTAAATGCTGGGTTTCTTAAATTCCCTGGATGTGGCAAAGGACATAATGTCAGATCAACTTTTATGTGAAAGACTTTTAAATTCATCTCTGGAGTGTGAGAAGGAAGGTAACATCTGACGTTAACAGATGTACCAAATTGTAAACAAATGTTTTTAATAGACTTAAGGAATATTACAAATCATATGCATATGGTATATTGTTGTTTTATTTTATGTTTATTGTGGAAATATATGGTTCATTTCCATGCAGAAACATATTTCGCTCTTTACATACTTAATCTCCAGCAAAAATTTGATTAGATGGTGCAAGCTTTCCTTACTGGAAGCCGAGGCATTAAATTATTTTGTATAATTGTTTCATTACCAATGCACCATTTTAATTGACACGTTAATATAGTTTTCTATGGAAAGGAAGATGTAATCTTTTATTTGTGTTTCTTATCTAATGAAAACCAGTCTCTTAGATGGGCTAGTCTGGCAATTTGACTTAGGAAAAAGTATTACGGGATGAAGTTTTTATGTGAACAAGGAAAAGAAATTAACTTCAGTGCTCCTCTCATTGGTCTGCCAAATTAGAAGGACATTTTAGGCCTGATTATCATGTTCTAATTAGTCTCTGGAGGACATTCATGGTCAATGGAGTGCTCATTAATGTGTCTTCTTCCTGTAACATTGATTTGTTCATTCCCCTTTCAGAAACTCAAATATAGAAACCAAAAATTGATGTGTGGTGTTAATGTGCTTACAGATGTTGCTACCACTTATCCAGATAAGAAGTCCATCTTAATGTATGTCACATCACTCTTCCAAGTTTTGCCTCAGCAAGTGAGCATTGAAGCCATCCAGGAAGTGGAAATGTTGCCAAGACCATCAAAAGTTACTAGAGAGGAACACTTTGAATTGCATCATCAAATGCACTATTCTCAGCAGGTAAAGTATCAAAAGAGTAAATAATAGAAATGATACTTTCTATCATATATGCATTTTTAGCCATCAAACATTGCATATCTATTATATCTGTGGATATGCACACAAACATGTATCTACATAGCATAATGTGTGTGGATGTGTGGATGTCTATCTATTTCTTTATCCCTGTACTCACAGGTATCTATGAGTAGACAGATAGATAAACTCTGTAAACCTTCTAAATTTTAACTGATAGAATGGATATAACATTATATTCAAAGTACATTATTAAAATACACTGCTGTGGATATCCACTATATTATAAGTATGTGGAAAACAATGTATTGCAATTCCATTGTGTAAAATAAAATAAAAGATAGACTCATATATGTATAAAGCTTTCAGTCAGAGTAAAAATCAAAGAACCAGAGCAAGAGCAAAGGCAAGTAGTCTCTTTAATAATACTTTCTTATTTTTAGTAGCAACCTGCTGATGTGTTAACAAATTGTGATTATTTAAGGTAACAGTTTTGATAAAAATAGTTTATAATACTTGAGAAGTTAAATGGGGAATACGTATGGTAAAGAATTTTATTATCGTACAGAATCTGGTAGGATTCTTTTATTACATGGTTGTTCTTACTCTCAGCAGTGGCTCTTTGTGATGTTTTCTTTTCATTGACACAAGCGATGATGAGAAAGTCTTTTCAAAAAAGCCTTTATCAAAATTTCTGCTGAAGGCGTTGGAAAGCTAATCTTAGGCCTAATTTTTTCACCCTGCTAAGTTAGTTCTATATTTACCTTATGAAATCTCCAGTCCTTTCCAGGATATTGACCTGATGAATTCTGGATTTGTTTACTCGGAGTTCAGAGAAAATTGCTTTTGGATGCCTGTTTTCTTGCCAGATTGAAGAGCACCATCCCATGTTAGTGCGGGAGTTGTGTCAGCACCCTCATACCTTCCCTGATTACCATGCCAGTGAGCACCAGAATTCTTGGAGTATACCAGTTTGCAAGACAACTATGTGCATTTCAAATTAAACTTTTTGCCTCACCATTTCCATTTACTTATGATGTCTCCCCCTCCCCTCTGTTCCCTCCCCCTAACCCTACTCTGCAGATCACAGTCAGTCTAGCACAGGGCTATGAACGAGTTCCTTCTTCTCCTAAGCCTCGGTTCAAGAGCTATGCCTACACACAGGCTGCTTATGTCACCACCTCTGACCCCACAAGGAGCCCACTTCCTTCACAGGTCTGTCAACATTTACTCTCTCTTCTACAAACCAAAGAATTTCCTCATCCAAGATAAGCTAACACGGCTTTTGTTTGAATTTTGCAGTGCCTTTTTTCTTGTCATCAGGAGCTGTTTCATTGTTCCCAGTTGTATTAGATGTTCTCATGTGATGCTCTTTGGTTATTGAAACTTCTCTAGGTGTACACGTGTTGATTCTTCATGCATGGGCATTCTTAGAATAGCGGTGTGTGCTTTCCTCATGTAAGGTTCTCTTTTATAAAGGCTACCAGTGGTTACACAAAAAGACAAATACCATCAAAGGTTTATATATACAGTTTTTAAAAGAATGGAAAAATGGATGAAATTTACTAGTCATACTATTGGGAAGACTTTTCTAGATATCAGATTCCTAAAGGAAATAGATACTCTATATAGCTGTTCTTACTATATTTTCATTCTGGAAAAAAGTGTTTTCTATTTAAGAAGAATATAACTACAAGCTTCTTCATATGATACATTTTAATTCACTAATTTGAACATGTATATAGCATGCTCTGTACTATCTGTACAAGAAAGTCAGTCACACGCAAACCAGGTCAGATTCTATGCACCACTTAATACTTTCTACATAAGGAATCTGCTCAGTGGAGTCTTCCATTATTACAATGTTGTAGGAAACCTAGAAATACAAGAAATTATAGCCTATTATATGTTAGAGCATGGAAATGACACGTGCTAGACTTGTGAGATTTGCTAGAATTTCCCTTTAGAGGAAAACTCTAGTTTTTAGAGAAATTTGAAAAGTTCCTAAGGAAGTGACTTTTACAAAAATGTAGTTTTGAATGGGAATTAAGAATAGGGATTAATGTAGTTTATGAATGAGAATTGAGAAATCATGGAGCTGAATCTGTATGGTGAAAAAGTACATTTTTAGAGGCTTATTGATTATTTAAAATAGTGGTTGCATTTAATTAGTGATTGTTTTGCACAGTTAATTTACGAGTAAGGCTAAAATTCTTAACTGGGGAAGCACATTTCAGGGCATAGTTATGCCCTTTATCCTTGGCTAGGTTCCTGGCAAAGCTGAACAAAGGAGACTGGGTAAGAACATTTGTGTGACTCAGCCTCATCTCCAGTTAAATTCCCATCCATGTATTTACAAAGGTTAGTTGTATAATCTGGAACAATAACTTAATCAGCTTTCTCATTATCAGTAAATAAAAATAGTTCTGCCACACATTACTGAGGGTTGCCATATGCCAAGTATGCACATTATACGAACTAATGAAATCCTTACAACATCTCTTAGAGATAGGAGATACTATTTTTACCTCATTTCAAGTTTCAGTGTATCTGCCCTTTTCTTTATCTTCCTCCTCCTCCTCCTCCCTCCCACCCTCCTGACTGCCTGACTCTCTAGACTCTCCTTCTCCACCCTCCCATTGAAGCTTCCAAGAAGTCAAAAACAGGAGTGGCTCCTAAAATAAAGGAGCATGAGCCATGACATAGAGATAAGTTTTTTTTTTTTCCCTCCTCATTATCATTTTATTGAGCTGCTTTTTCCAGAAGGTTTCTTCCAGTGTCTCTTCTGACAGCATATTTTTACCTCATTACCCCCTCATTAAGGCCTTGCTCAGGTATGACTCCTTAATGAAGTAATTGTAAGTGGACCTAATTTTGCTAGATTCTATTTGTTCATTCTACCTTTGTATAGATAGTACAATATACATGTGTCATAAAATAAAAATATCTGACACATTCATTTACCTCTTTTATTTAGCCTAGGCCATTGAAATAAAGCTAATGCTATCCTTTAGAAAAGAAGAAGCATGATTCACAATTGGCGAGGAATGATATGTTCTGCCTGTTTCTATAGGAGGCACATCAGAAGATGATGTTATATGTAGTTTATGTCTTGAGTACGTACTAAGAAACAGTTTTTTCTGAAGGGTTTCTCTGAGGGGGTGAGCCTATATAGTCCCCTACAGGCTGTATCTTATCCACTTCAAATGAACTCAAGACAGCCCAGACTGGTCTCCATTAGGGAGTTTGATTCAAGTGGTTTACTTGGTAGTTTACAAAGAAGGGGGTGAAGTTTTCCATAATAGTAGAGCGAGCTATGTAGGTGACTGTCCCGCCTGGAAAACACAAAATTTATGAATTATCTTCAAAGTTCCCAGTATATTAGAAACATCAATTATCCCCATCTGTCCTAAATTTGAAAAAACTGTTTTATACCCTTTGTAGTTTGCAAACCTGTTGGGTCAAGCAATCTGACTTATATCAGGATCCCTACCTAGAAGTGAGTTTTTCTCATAATTTCCCAAGAAGAAATACTATCTGGTGTGAATTCCCAGGTTTCCCTCATTGTATCACTTTACTGCCATCCATCCTCGGATGGGGGACATTTTTTTTAATGGTTATATCTAATTCCTATTTTTATGACTTTGATCATGCCTGTCATTCTACTCCTAATTTTATATCAAAAATACTCTATCTTTTTCACCTTTAATTTCTTTCTCTCTCTTGGCACCTAACCCTGTTTTAAACTCCTCTAGGCCCTTAGACCTGTGTGCATATCACCTCTTCCCAAACATATCACTCCACTTTACCTTGTTCATGTGTTGTTATGTGACACTTTCTTTCACTTATTACCTTCTGTAGAATAGCCTATGCTTTATTCATTTATTTAGTCAACAAACAATTACACTTCATCACCAAATCAAATGTCATCTTTTCAGCTTTCAGGCTTTCCACCATAATTGAAATAACTTCTCATAGCCTCTAGACTCAGCAGTTTCTTCTCCATCTCTCTTCCCTATCTCTTTCATTATCAGGCTATTTCTCCCCTTCTAACTCTCTTTGTATAACAGCCTTATGGAAGATCCCTTGATCCACTTACTACACTCTTTCTCTTATCAATATGATTTAATCTCCTGGCTTCAAGCTATATGCAGATGACCACTGTTATCTATGTTTTCACCCACTTCCAATATATTTTGTTACAACCACATTTCCAACTCATTTTCAATTCTTTGGAATATATTTGTACCTTGATGGGCACTGATTTCTTAAACTTAACATGTTCTGGTACTTTTGTTGTTGTTGTTGTTGTTTTTAATTTTTTTAATGTTTTATTTATTTCTAGGAGAGAGAGAGAGAGACAGCGTGAGCATGGGAGGGTCAGAGAGAGAGGGAGACACAGACTCTGAAATAGGCTCCAGGCTCTGAGCTGGCAGTCAGCACAGAGCCCGACGCGGGGCTTGAACCCATGTACCGCTAGATCATGACCTAAGCGAAAGTGGGACGCTTAACCGACTAAGCCACCCAGGAGCCCCTAACTTAACATGTTCTGAAGTGAATTTTGTTTCATTGCTCACAAACCTGTTTCTTACCCTTTTTTGTTATGTAGATGAGCATGTCACTCAGCAGTGATAGAGACTTAAATATGTGACATACTCTTTGGTCCCTATATTGATCTGATATTCATTAAGGAGACATGCAAAGTCACTTCATTCTTTACAACATTGCTCCATCAAGTTATGTCCCCAATGTTATGTCCTCTGATTCAGACCCTCAATACATGGCTTGTAGATTACAGAAATGTCTTTGCGATCAGTATCACTATCTTTTAGTTCCCGCTAAATCTGATTAAATATCCATATTAACAACTTTAGTAATATAACTCACAAAACTTTCTTCACTTCCTTTTGCCTTTATAACAAGTCTATTCTCTTAAATTTCACCAAGGAACTCCATGATGTATTATCTATGTATATTATCATGCTTATTTCACAGTAGCCTCTTTCATGTTTTCTTTACTCCAATCAAATTAAATCACTTGCTGTCCTCCATCAGTGCCAAGAAGTTTCCCATCTTAGCTTTCTGGGTTCTCTGAGCCTAGAGTGACTTTTGTCTCTTTACAATTGGGCACTTTGATCCAGATTTCATGACCTAACCAATAAGTGGCAGAGCCTGAATTCACATTCAGATTTATCTAACTACAAGCTAATGTTCTTCATACAATACTGAATGTTCTCTACTGCTATATGTATATGTGTATAGGAATTACTTACACATGTGGTATTCATTTATGTAATAATTTAACACTTATTTTTAAAATTTTATTTCCTTAAAGTCACGTTAGTTAGCATACAGTGTAGTATTAGTTTCAGGAGTAGAACCCAGTGATTCATCACTTATATACAACACCCAGTGCTCATCCCAACAAGTGCCCTCCTCAGTGTCCATCACCCATTTAGCCCATCCCCCCACCCCTTCAGCAACCCTCAGTTTGTTCTCTGTATTTAAGAGTCTCTTATGGTTTGTCTCCCTCTCTGTTATTATATTATTTTTCCATCCTTTCCCCTATATTCATCTGTTTTATTTTTTTACATTCCATGAAACTGTATATTTGTCTTTGTCTGACTGACTTATTAGCTTAGCATAATACACTCTTGTTCCATCCATGTTATTGCAAATGGCACAACTTTATTCTTTTCGATTGCTGAATAATACTCCAGTGTGTGTGTGTGTGTGTGTGTGTCTGTGTGTGCGCGCGCACGCACATATATACATTTTCTTTATCCATTCATCCATCGATGGATGCTTGGGCTCTTTCCATATGTGCCAGGTATTATTATATGACCAAGTAATCCATTAGTAAACAAACTTATGAAATAATTCCTGCCCTAATGGAATAGCATAGCCTTATGGGAGAGTCAAAATAGGAAAAAGATAAACATTATCTTTTCAAATAATAAAACATAATATTTCAAATAATATATAAGTAATATGTATTAAGTAAAATTTAGCAAGTAATTACAATAGATAGTGGTAAAAAGAAAAAATAAAACAGGAAAGTAGAATATGTAGTATATGGCAGTTGGGGTGGTCAGAGAAAGTAAATTTTGTATAAAGACTGGAAAGAGGTGTGGGTCTCTGGGAGAAGACAAACATATGTGGAGGAAACACAGATGGTATAAAAGCACTGAGTTAGGGGGATACTTGGACTTACT